CCCCCCCCCCCCCCCCCCCCCCCCCCCCCCCCCCCCCCCCCCCCCCCCCCCCCCCCCCCCCCCCCCCCCCCCCCCACAAGAGGTCAAGGTTAACTTCTATGATCCCAACGCCAGCGGCGAACTTGATGGTTCGGCCCTGTGCGAGTCGTCTACATGCTACTTCAAAATCGACCCCCGGGACTCTCCATTTAACTACCCCGGTCCAGACACTCTGCACTCTCCCCACGAGGCCCTCATGTTGTGCTGGTGCATCTCTTGTGCGAGATGGGATCGACACAACTCTTGTCAACGAGGTCCGCTCGTACGGTCTCGATGGAAGCCTCATCGTCAACGAGGCCGAGGTTGGTGGCCCGGGCGTCATTGGCGATGGCCATGCGCCGACGGATGCGGATGGGGATGGCAGACGAGTGGGAGAAGTCCAACGGGCTCGACCCGAACAATGCGATGGACGGCATGTTCGTCGCGGAAAATGGGTACGCAAACCTGGAGAACTACATCAACTCCTTGGTCTAGGTGGTAATTATTAGCCCTTGTCACGCATTGCAAGCCTGGGCGAATGGCTGAGTAAATGCCATAAAAAAATTGATGCTATTATACGCAATCGCTCAAACATAGTACGTGCTAGAAGAGCAACATTACTGGGTATCCTGAATCCATGTATGATCGGTCCCGCGGGGAATTAGTACCTGATAAAAACGTAAAGAACGCCACACGTCAGTCCAGCTCGTACCGTCGCCCAGAGCCATACGCGCGCTTGACCAACTTCTTGGAGTCCGTCTTGGAATCCGTCCTGGAGGCCGCCCTCGAGTCGGCGGCATACAAGCTGGCTTCTCTGCTTGCTTCCGTGCCATTCTCGGATTCGGGCGAATTTCCTACCTTTTGGGGAGTCGAGTTGGATCTTTTCTCCTCGACCAGCTTCATCGCATCGCCAGTTAACTCTTGACGGTTCATCAGCTTCCATACATCCTTCTTCCTCGTCTTCCTGTCGCCAACCGTGATAACAATACCGGCCGTAATGTTTACCGTGATACTGACAGCCAGGATGACCGTGGTGATGGCTTTATGCCGAGTTCGATAATCAATACCCCACGTGCAAGCCCCCAAGGAGATTTGCAGACATGAGTGGCAGTCCAGCAGAATGACAATGGCTGTTAAATAACTGACAGGAAAGGCATAATGAGTCGCCGTCTCATGAGGCTTGTAAAAACTGTGAGACTTGGCCAGTTTCGACTGATGATGATGTAGGCTCTGCTGCTGCTTTGGCGTCAATGGCGTACGCTCATAAGCCTCGATACCGGACTTGGCGTCATCCGCATCCACGACAATGTTGTTGCGCAACATGTAGTCGTTGACCTCTGGGTTCGACTGTTGACTCTCCGTGTCAGCCGCAACCTGGTCCACTTGACGCAATGGCTGGAGTGGCTCCGACGTGTGAGATGCAGCTTGCACAGCGCGTGCAGCATCGACGCTGGCTCGGATGGACTCGGGAACATTGTTTTTTTGCAGCCTCGATCGGGGGCGCACACCCCCTTTCTTGACAATCCTGGCGTATCGTAGGACAAACCACAAGTGATACGTGTCGATCGCCCGGAAAGGAGCCAGTCCGTCACCCATGATAGCAAACAACGCGACAAGCACACTGTCAATGACATGAATCACGTACAGCTGCTTATCGCCCACATAGACCCAGCCAATGAGGAAAAGAACCCAAGCCAGTCCAAATAGTGTAATCAGGGTGGCGTAGAGAGTGACAAAGAAACCCAAGGGCTGTCTCACATACTGCCCAAACCCCTTCATCTGTCTCTTGAACTTGGAGCGTCGAGAGTGCATCATGTGACGCACGTGATCATCGAGCTCCCATTTCTCTTCTTCTGTCCACCCGTGAAGACTGGCGCCGTGGGGAAGGGCGGCGTAGTGAGATTCAGTGAGGCGAGATGTAATGGTGCTGGACCGTTGCAAACCAGGCCGTCCAACATCGACTCCGGCCTCAGCAAGCGTCTCTGCATCACGATCCTCGCCGATCCGACCCATGCACCCAGTAGCAGGCCCTGCTGTTGGCGCACCTGGTGTCGGCGCGCCTGGTGTCGGCGGCAGTTTAGCGGCACGTTCAAGATTGTGTTCAGACAGGTTGAAAGTCGGGCGTCGATTGACCCATTTGCCCAAGTCCGGCACGAAAAGCGAGTTTTGCACATTCGTAAGAGTCGAAAGAGTCTGGACTTCTGGGTCTAGGAGAGGAAGTTAGCGCGGTGACTAGCATCAAAGCGGAGAAAGAAACTTGCCGATAGTGTCGAGATAATCGACAAGTCGCTCGTCATATTCGTCGTCCCTGATGAACGACTCATCTGCTTGGCTAGGGAAAGCATTGGGGTCTTGATCATCTGCCCGACGATGCCAGATCAGTCGGCTCATCCTCCTCATACGGCTCGGATTCGGACGGCTGTGTGTTTCATGTGCCTCCAAATCATTGTCGAACCGAGCCTCAGTCAATGATTGGGCTCTTGACGGTGGATCACTGTCCATTTCCAATTCCTCCATTGTCGGGCGCGCACCTTCCTCCGTCAGACGCGGCATGGCGGCAGGCTGTACTCTTCTAGAGTGCCGACTTGGAGCGCTTGCGTCGGCAGCCACATGGGCGCGATCTGGCTGAGAGATGCTCCTAGGTCGGTGGTCCGATACGCTGCTCGTGGCTGAGGTGCTGCCTGCCCCGAGCGACCCTGGCTGGGCTGTTCCGGACCTGACAGACGAAGTTCGGCGACGGAGCCTGATACTGGGCTGGCGAGATATCGTGCGGGTCATCTCGTCCAAGGGAGCGGAGGCACCGCTACCTGCGCGAGCTCTGGCAGCCGAGGCCTGACCCGAGGATTGCGGTCGCGATGCTTCATGGTAGGATGGGAATCGCTGGACGGATGACGCGGTACCCTCAAGAGGTGGGAAATATTCGGCCGCAGCCTCACCCTCAGCTACGGGCGTGCCAAGGGTCGGTGTTCGGCGCGACATCGAGGGACCGCCATTTCGACCGACGTTGTGCTCCTGATTCGCAGAGACTGCGTGTCTTGGAGGATCATTCAGATTGCCTGTCGAGGCGGCGGGCCCTGTTGTCGGAGGAGGAGGAGGAGGAGGCAGCGGCTTGTCTCTAGACGTTTTCTTCCAAAACGGCGCCATCGAGGGCACTTCTCTGGAAACAGGCGCGGCTGCGGGGATTCGGAATTAGGTATCAGAGGCTGGTGCAGGTTCAAAGAAGAGAGGGGAGAAGGGAAAGACACGGATAATGCTTGAAATGCTGCGACCATACGAACAGACGAGACGAGAGCCGTTCTGAAGCTAAAGTACTGTACTCCGTAGAAGATACGGACAAGGACCGGAGGAGAGAAACCTGATGTCGAGGTGAGGTCTGGTCCTGACTCCTTCCTCAGCAACAAATCTCAGCAGCGACCGGAGATCAAGGAAAACAGGGGCCGGTCCCCTGTCCTTTTCTTCCCGTAGCCAATTCGGAGAGCCAAGATGCAAAATGACGAACATTACAGCCAATCAGAGCGCTTTCAGGGCCCCAACGGTACGTCACTTTGCTGGCGCGCTAGCTACTGAGCTACGTATGCAACACTAGCCTCATTTAGCGTAGTGTCAAGCGTTCGAAATCAATCAGGTTGCGAATATCACGACGGATAGACAGATCAGGTCAACTCAAATCTCAGATTCTATTGAGCTTTCAGCCGCCCCGCCGAATCAAACATTATTCAGGATCGGATTTGATCTGGATGATCAGATATCATGGATGCTTGTTTGTTCTTTATTCAGGCTTGTCAGCCAGTGTTCCGGCCGTTTTGTGGTCTCATGAGGGCAGTATGCCTTTCTACACTGAACGCGTGCGACGCGCCTTGATTGGACCTCGCTCCGCCTATTAATGGGCCAAGTCTCCCGATGAGAGCCCGGTTGATGGCGAACGTGTTGGACCTTGGTTTGGGAGGAAATTGAATCAGGGATAATACTGACCAGATTCAACTAGATCAAACCGGATTCATATGTATGCGCCAGATTTGTTTATGTTGTATCCTGCCTGCAATCGATTGCGAACGCTGCTGCATCCCACGTCTTCTCCGCAACGCGCAGATTACTATCACGGTCACCGGTGACGGTTCTGCCTCAACTGGGAAATACAACGCCCAGTGAACATGTCCCGTAGTCATCTGTCAGTGCAGTCAAGTGTTTTAGCGATTGTCAACTCGGGGAGCGGCGGCCTAGCCCGTCGCCGTTGGGGACATACATCGCGCGCCGGGGCCTTCGAATTTTTCGGACAATCAAGTCCGAAAATATTGCAACTCCTTTATTAGCGTCCTTGTTAGCCTGCTCTCTGTAATCAGCAAGGTACTACGGAGGTAATTCGTAGTACGGATCCGGTATTGACATATCAGCGCCTTTGAGGTCTTTGTGTGACAGTCACTTAGCATGCACCGCAAATTCAGAGATCCTTCGTGGCATTCTGGCGCGTGGTCCTCTGGGACACGTCTGCTTGTCCACGTTGTCGGGCCAACTAGATGGTAGAGGCGTCAACATAATAATCCTGCCTTAGCAACAAGGGCGCACGATGTTGTCCGATCAGAACCGCATACTTCGTGCGTGTAGATGTTTTGCACAATAGAGGTTAGAAAGATAGCTATTATTCTTGTTTTTTTGCTATACTAAGCCTGCAAGGGCACGAATTGTACCTTTCATCGTCTTAAGTGGTTTGTGACGTTGCTTAGCCTGTGGTAGACCTAGACAACAACGTACGGGAATCCAAACGCAACCATGAGTACCATGTTGCGCAGGCCCTGCTACTACGCTATACATAACAGCCTTCGTATCGTCTTGAAATGTTTTGTCTGTATCTTTCTTCGCTCGGCGCCCACCCCATCATCGAGCGCGACAGGGTGAAAATAGTTAGGCCAACACCGGAATCGAGAAGCATTCGTACGGCATCGATATTTCCTAGCCATACCGCTAAACTGTATCAACGAAATATGCGGGAGACCGCAGGTGCATGGGTCCGGCCGTTCACTAAGTATGCACTGTGCTGAACTAGAAATTTATTAATTATCGCACTAACCACCTCGGCCACCTCTCTATTTCTCGCATTTCTACACATCACCAACTGACAATCATCAACGTCACCGTGGCTCGTAAGGAAGACATAACACGATACGATCAGTAGGTCATAATTGAGGACCACACCGGCAAAACAGCGATAATATTATACAGGGGATTAGAAGGCAATTCTGCTACCGCCGCTGCCCTCCTGGGTTTTCTATATTACTTACCCCGAGTTTTGCCGCGAGAACTTCAACGGTGTTAAATTCTAGCGCCAGTTTGAGCAGAATGGTCTTACTAACCGAGTTAGATGGTTCTGATACGAACTCTTCTTCCTTCCTGGTGTGTCGGCATAAGACTGTGTTACGCATTTTCTCGGGGAAATAGCCGCGCCAGGTGCTATCTGGCGCCAGATCGATAAAGTCAATCGATCGGCGCGCAAGACGCGCGGCCTGTCTTCGGGTGCCATTGAATGGTTATATTAAGCAGAAGATAATCATGCCGAAAGGTCGGAGAATAAGACTTCGTGTGGATGGCTCCTAGGCATAGTGTGGTCTAAACAAACCTCGGACCTGCAGTATACTAACTATTATGGCTGGCTCTTCATATACATAAATGTAGATGATAAGGCACCAGAGCCTGATGCCCGGGAGATCTGTTTAGTTAAATTTAACCCAGTGCCGGTAGAGCGAGAAGACGGCGAGGCGATCGAATTCGACCCTACACGGACCATCCAGTCTTTTGTGAGATGGTTTCTGTTATGTGTGGGGAATTCGCCGAACGCGGTGCCTCTGGCTTCAATGACCACAAACGCTTCTTCCTACTGGCATAACCAGGCTAACGAGGCGACCTCTGGCGCTCGAATGAGGATGGGACTCTTGGTAGGGTAACCTGCCAAAAGATCCTTATAGTTACTCTGGCTCCATACTTTGGGGCTCCCTTGGCCTCCCCTGACCAGAGAACTGTGCCTGGCACCGGAAGACTTTGGGAACTTCACTGCTGACTCTTTGAAGACCCCATTAGCACTCATGACGTCCCTCAGCCACGTCCGCGATTATCAGGGCCTAAGCACCATAATATGGTATGTGCATATCGCTATTTCGCACAGTGGAAGCTAAACACTGTTCTGGGTTTCACAGCTGTACTAACCGTGCAAATACGCGAATTACAGCTCCAGTCGTCCCAAGTGGTTCATGACGTTGCTGTAGCCTGACTAAGTATGATGAACCTGGACAAAAGCGTACGGGAACCAGACGTAGCTATCAGTACCATGTTGCGCAGGCTCTGCTACTACGATGTACTGAGAATGACAGTCTCACGGGTTTCTGGAGACGTGATTGCTTGTGTTAAGCTTTTAGTATTATATTCATCACGGCGGCTTTACAAGTTGAGCAGACAATGATAGTTCGGGTATATTCCAAAAGAAAAAGACGCTTCCTCTAGCTCAGGAATAACCTAAGACCCACCAGCGCTGGTGAAACTGGAGATTTGGTCACTGATGACCAACCCTGCAACACTCGCGGACGTCAGCGTAGACATGACGCCGGAGAAGAGAGCAGAGATTGCCAGACTCGAGACATCGCCACCGCGGGAAGGGGCAAGCTGTCCGAGAATACCGATCTGAATACCCAGAGAGCCAATGTTGCCGAATCCGCAAAGCGCGTAGGTCGCGATGAGCTTGGAGCGGGGCGAGAGTTCGTCAGCAAAGTTTGGGTTCGTGACAAGCATATTGAAAGCGCTGTACTCGTTCTGTGGCGCGTTGTCAGTTTGGAAGACTGTGAAGCGAGGGCAGATGAAAAACATACCACGATGACTTTCTCAGCGATCAGTTTGGCTACCTTGTAGATGTCCCTGTTCTTCTCGTCCCTATTCGCGCCATCTCTGACAGGCACACCCAGCAGCCAGGCGACGGGGTAAAAGAGATATCCAAATATGGTCTGAAGGGTGAGTTCCGGCTCGTTGATGTCTAGGTACTTGCCCCACCAGGTGAGCAGACCATTGATCAGCCCAACCAATGCGAGGATGCAAAGGATGGACGCGAGGATTGTACCCGCGATCTTGACACCAAGGTAAGCACCCTCGGCGAATGCGTGCAGGGCATTCTCAGCCTTGTGCTCATCGTCATCAGGAACGACGACGCGACCAGCTGTCAAAGTCTCTTCCGTCTCTGGGTAACGCAGCTTGGAAATGGCCAGCGAGGCAGGGATCGACATGATGCAAGACGACACGAGAGCCTCAGGGTTCAGGCCCAGGTCAATGTAGCCAATCAGCACGGAGCCAGAGATGGTCGCGAAGCCGCAAGTCATGATCTGATGGATCTCGGCCTTGGTCATGTGTGGGACGAAGGGACGGATAAGCATCGCCGACTCGCCCTGACCAATAAAAGGGGTGGCAGCAGCCACAACGGCCTCAGCACCCGACACCTCGAGGGCCCAGAAAACAAAGGTCGCAAACTTGCGGATGAACCACTGAAGGAAACCAATGTAATATAAGACCTGGACGAGCGAGATGAAGAAAATGATGGCTGGAAGAACGGCAAAGAAGAACATGGGCAAATTCGCCGTCTCCTCGCTGGTCAGGAACTCCACGCCATCTTTGGCGAAGCCGAGCAAGTCACTTGCGCGTGCAGCAATGAAGCTGAAGATATCGTAACCGACCGTGGTGCGCAAGACAAAGAGGCCAATGATGTATTGGGCCAGCATGCCACCACATACGGTGCGCCAGTTAATAGCCTTGCGGTGCCTGCTGGTGGCCCAGAAAGCGAAGATGATGACAGCCATGCCAAACAAGCTAATGGCCCGATTCTCGCGAGTATTGTCGGCACTCTCCTCAGTGACGAAGGATCCCACCAGGATAACGGCCACGGTTAGTGCAGCGCCAGCCAAAGTTCGGAACCTCTCGGGGATGAAGCTTTGAAGCTTGACAGCCGTGTTGTGCCAAACCCAACGGATCGGAGTGGACACATAGCGTATAGGGACGTAGAAGAAGATGATACGGAGAACAATGGCGAGCCATAGCAGGAATGGGACCACCCAATTCTTGTCATCGTGATGCAAAATCAACGAGGCCATCCACCAGCCTGTGAAAAGGCCGAAGATGATGAAGTGGATGATGGGACGCCTGAAACGCCAGACAGTGCCCAACGGACCAGCCTTCCAGCCAGTTGGTGGTGCAGACTCTTGAGAAGCAGCAGTGTTCTCGATGTCAGCCTTGCCCTTCTCGTCGCTATAAGCGGGAAGGGTACCCGCAGACAACGACCCATTCTTTTCGACATCTTGAGTACCCGTGCCCAAGTGCTGGTGATTCTGCGTAGGAACATGCGGCGCATCAGCGGTAGTGCCCGCCGTGTAAACAATGTCGTCGGGTGCTTGCGCGCTGGGCGCGTGGTTGTGGTGCGCGTGATGATGCTGGTTTTGAGGGGCAAGTGCAGGATCTGCCGATCTCCTGGGCGAGGATGTCGGCAGAATGGTGTGTTGGTCGACCATTGTTGCTGCGGATGCTGGCCTAAGACGGGACCTTCGGGTCAGAGAGGCAGGAACAAGGACGCGAAAAAGTAGAAAGGTATCCAAGACTTTTCTAGCTCTGCTCAATTTTTTCCTTTTGTTCGCGGTCGGTCGCGCCGAGGAACTGGGGCAGTTCGCGTGGGGACGGATCCGTCGGTGGTGCGTAGTGGCGGGGGCTCTCAAGTGACGAGGTCACCCTGGTGCTCACTGAGTACACAGACGGGAGGTTCGCTGTTCAATGAGGGAGATACAGAAGACGTGAGACTGGAGGCGAGACAACGGTGATGATCTCTGCTGACTCGGCAGCAAGGGGTTGAGCAGGACAATTTACAGCGACGGGCTGAGCGGAGCTGAGGGAGGTCCTGGAGGATGGAGATGGAGGGCTGGACGTCCTTGGGGGCAAAAGGAAGGATCGAGCGGGCAGTGGAAGCAGGAGGATCGGCGGGCAGCTCATGCCATTTGTACGTTGGCGCTCCTTCAGTCAGTCCGGACATACAGTTTGTGGTTATCGCAAAGGCAGGTGCTATCTACGCTCGGTATGGCCTCCCCGGGATGGGCGGCGGCGGCGGCGACACTGCACCTACCCTGGCTTGGGCGCCACATCCCAAGGGTCGCGTGCCACCTCGCGGCGTCCATTGGCCGAGTTGTCGAATCGCACACACGGAAATGGCTGGCAACCTTAAAAAATTCTCCACGGGTTGACTCTCGAACGCTGCGAGAAGAAAAAAAAAGTCCCCAGTGGAGGGGCCTTGGCGCACCAGGCGGCAGCCATCGGCATAGAAGACAAATGCAGCTAGCGTCAGATTAGCATGCGGGTGTGGCCACTTCTGGAGAGCATGTCCGCACGGTGCTTTACTTATAAGTTTGGCAGCAAACTACAGTGCGTACAAAAGTAGCGCTTATCAGTGGGTGGCGGGAATTGCCATCTCGAAATGTTCGATGCGTATTTCGGTATCACGAACCAATCAGCGCCGCATCGCACAACCCCAAGAACTCCGCCGCCACGGAGCTTGCTCGGCGGCTCTATACCCATTTTGGAAGGCGACCTCGATCCAAAACACCAATCAGCTCAAAGGCCTGAGCCGCAGACGCTTCACAAATCATAAATTAATTACACCTTCAATCGTCAAGTGGTTTCGCGACGTTGCTCTAACCTGACTATAGTGGACCTGGACATTGCCCGTCCATCGACCCTTGGCAGATTTCTTTATCAGGTTGGTCCCTTCAATGCTGATGAGTTGAAATATGCATACAGAGTTCGAGGGATCCAAGCCTGTTGTCGGAAGACGACAATACCGATGACTGCGCTAAACACGCACAAGGGTAAGTACTGAGGTACGTATTTGATAAGGAGTTTGCTACCTGGGTTGTCTCTGGGGCCGTATACTGTCGGGGAACGCCGAAGCAGCCCAAGCATCCGGACAAAGGATCCACGATTTGGCTTCCTAGTCTTCTCGACTATCACACTGAAAGATAACGCGGACCGGGCTCGAACCCAAGCCGCCATACAACATTGAAATCATTATGAATAACACCACTCAAACCAACGGATCATTGGAACATACGGCGCCCAGGCTCTTATCACATTCACATGCTGCAGGCTGCGCTTTCCGCCTTCTCATCCTAGTCATTTGTTGTTACCTGTTTCATTTGTAGCAGTGAAGCTTCTACAGCATTCGAGTGTCCCTGCTCACCCCTGGAGTTTGTTGTTTGGCGACTTCTTCAGTCCGCCACGCGCCAGTGTTACATTGGCGACAAACGTCACTCCCGAGGCCCCCAGATTTCAAGCTCTCCCCGCAAACTCAACATGATCGTGACAACAAGCGCGAATCATCTGGGGATTAGCTTTGGCCGTCTGGGGAACCATAGTAATCATCGCGTAAGAAAAACTCGAGATTGGGGCTGTCCGCGAAGCGCTGCTGGGATCATCTTGAGCCATCGGCGGACTCCGCCTCGGCGGACCCCACGCCAGTCGACCTGCTTTCTGGGCGCTTACACAGACTGATAATGGCTGTTGAAGCGCAACTACGCGTGGTCCCGGTCCTGCATACCAATCTCTCAGAGTGGGCAAGTTCTCGATGTTCCACATGCAAGTGATCACAAGATGCCATCAGTGTGTACGGAGTAACAGGGTTTGGCATGCAAACGATGCGAATCACAACCCTGCCATTGCAATCTGCGAGAGTGCGACTCTGCCAGTCGGCTACGGATCCCAAGAAAGTAGTGTGTCACATGCCTCGACGCGGTCCTTGATGAAGAGTCGGTATTGGTAGCGTATACGGACTACTTCGTCGCAAATTCCCTGTTCTAGGCACACTGTTCTAGGTACTACGCACTGATTGCCGCGGACTAATTAACAATGATAACAGCAAGTGAAGAAAGTACTGGCCTCACCCATCACGGCTCACCGCTCCTGAAACGCATGTTAAACTCCTCCACAGCGACTCCAAGCATCTTATACAAGAATCCTCTCTCACTTCCTCCGCCGACAGGAATGAACGGCCCGTTGACACCTCCACGCAACGTCAAGCTGACACCCGTCCTCTCTTTTGCAATAGTCTGTACATCCTTCAAGGGGATGTCCCACTCGCTTGCCAACCTGCGACTACGGATGAGCAGGATCCGTGCAAACGTCACCATGACGACCATGTCCTCCTTGGGAAGCTCCAAGTGTCCGATGTACTGCTCGTCAAAGTATTTCCCATTGTCGACTTGCTTGAGCCAGTATTGGCCCAGTGCTTCGCGCGGATTGTAAGGGCGTACAATTCCATCGTTAGGAATGAACCTTGGGAACCGCGAGCGATCGAGTTCCTGGCCGTCAAAGACAGTCGTGGTGTTGCGAATACCTTCGCTCACATTACTCGCCATGTCAAGCACACCAACGGCAGGCTTCGTCGCCAGCCCGAGCACGCCCTTGCCGACGCCCTTGAAGAAGCCGAACGCGCCTTCTTGCTCAGCGCCTTCCAAAGGTTTGCGTGCCAATCCGCCGACGCCAGAGGCGACGCTAGTGAACAAGCTGTTCGCCCCGGCTGTCACGCCGTACAATGCATGCTTCGGTCTGTTCCTGGCCCTCGTGATTCGGCGGCGGTCCTGGAATTGCTTGTCCAGTGACGCCGCTGCTAGGCCCTTGCTAAGACTGCCTGTGAATTTGGAGAAGCTGTCGCTGAATCCGAACACGGTCTTCTTCGCAAACGAAGCAGCACCCTTTGCGATCCCAAGTCCGAATTCCTCCGGCTTGTCCGAGAGAATGAGACCCTGATACGGCTCGTAAAAGATGTCGGTGACACCAGACGAGATGTTATTGAACAAGCCCACTGGATTGCCCAGGAAGTCAGCAGATCCGAGTATCTTGTGAATCTGGTACATGACTTCTTGGCTGTAATGGTTGGAAATGTTTTGCATCAGTACCTGAGTGGACACCCGTACATTGTCCAGCATGAGCGCATTGAACCGAACAGGCGCATCGTTGACGTTGCCAATGGCCATGGTCATGACGTTGAGGAAAAACATGATGGGGTTGCGTGTAGAAGTCTTGTCTTCGGCATTGATGCGCTCGGTCCGCATGAAGCTCAGATCAATCTGCATAGGCTGAATGTTGAGAACCTCAAAGTACATATCCTGCCCCGCTTGCTGCTGCGTCGGCTGAGGAATGTCTAGGCTGTCGTCACATAGCCTACCTTCCTCTTCAATTGTCCAGCGCGCGCCGGGCACGTTGGAAAAGTCCAGCAGCGCAAAGACAAAATCTTCGTCGAGATCGACCGTCATCTGCTGTAGAAGTATCGTGGCGTACTTGATATACAGGACACCGTAAGAATCGTCCTTGACGCGGCTGACCATCATGTGCAGCGACGGGTGTGCATCAACCTCCTGTGCCTTCTTGGGCACGACGCTCGGATACAACACCATGGGGAAGAGCCCGCCGTAGAGCTGATTGTCAATCTGGATCCATTTGATGGACAGGGATACAGTCTGGATCAAAGGCGAATCGCTGTATCGCAGCTGCAGGTCCTTGAAGTTGACATATGCCAACTCTTTGAGCTGCGCGTTGACGAGCGAGATGCCAATGCCCGAGAGCTTCAATTGAGCCAAGAACGTTGCGCCGGTATCTTGGTCCTTGACCTCAAAGGCCTCTAGACCTGTCTTGGTCCTCTCTAGATTCTTCGGCCTGTACATGCTCTTGCTAGCGCGGAAGTTGCTCAAAATGAGTGTCTGCGTGGGTCCATCGGCGGCCACGTTTATGTCGATAATCTTTTGCTGGCCATTGGGATTGGGGAATTTCATGGGTATTTGATTTCCAATCTCCGCGAGCTTGACATGCCTCTCCTTGTTGTTCGCAGAGATGATGATCTCGCGATGCTTCGCGGCCGGGAAGTCCCACGCGTATGGCATGATGCTGCGTGGTGGAAGACGGTACCGGACTGGTTTCCATCCACTGCGATCCTCAACACCGTCCTCGTCGACGTTGGGGTTGGCTTGGTAGAAGGTGAACTCGAGATCGCTTTCGTTGCGCATAGAGAAGGGCCAGTTCTTTGTTTCCATGCTGAAGTTCAAGAACAGCGTCGAGTCTTCCATCAGAATCTCAACCCGGATCAACTTCTGACTTTGACCAGCCTTGGCCACCTTCACGTGGTTCGTACCAATGTCGGCAATGTTAAATGGTGCGGTCCACTGATTATTGACGCCGGCAAAACAGAGACAAAGCTGCTTCACGGGCGACTTCTGCATAAAGTGCAGCGGCTGAGGCGACCCTGGTTTCAGAGTCATGTAGCCAGAAGAACTAGACTCGCGGATGAGTAGCTCTTCATCAAGCCTGTTGTCCAAGACAAATCTCGGGGCAAGCGTGACGACCTTGGTCAGCTTATACTTGCCCTCGCCCGAGTTCACCGTGATGCCGAGGTGTATCTCCTTGTTTTTGGATGCTGAGTTGAGCACGACTTCGGAAGTGCTTCCGATGGCGTCGAAACTCTGTGGTTTTGACCATTCCGAGTCAGCCACTCTGAGCAGGGCACGGTTGCGATTGTCGTCATTTCCGTACGAGAACATAAAGGGTAAAGCCTTGGGACGCCCCTCCTCAGAATTGTCAACCAACGGATGCTGACCAGCAGCAGCCCGAGCTTGCTGGAGGAATGTTTTGGCCCTTATGGTCAGGTCAAGACCGGTCTTGTTCAACACAACGTATGGACTGTAGACAGTCACCTTGAAGGCGCCACCACTGTTGGGTATCTTGAAATATTGCAGCTTGAGGTGCAGTGGCTGTCCCTGTGCGTCTTTAAGTAGGACACGGTTCTCTTTGCGGAATTCGTCGCTGGCTCCGGAGTTGATAACAGCGAAATCGCTTGGCTTGAATACGGTGTCTTGCATATCCACGCTGAGCAACAGCAGGTGCGACAATTCGACAACGTGGACAGGGCTGACGCCACCTTTGCGAAGGAAATTGGACCAGTCTTTCTTGGTGTTCTTGTCGTAGATGCGATACTTGAAGTCGTACGGCAGAAGGTTCTCCAAGGTGACAGGCGCAGACAACTTGACCTTCATGTAGGGATATGACTTGGTGAGAGGATTGGCCCGATTGAAGCGGGCATTGACCTGGAAGTAGAAAGGTTCCCCGTTTTCCCCCTTGCAAACGACCTGTTTCGTAGGTTTCTTCAGCAGATCTCTCCACCACAACTGCTCGCTACTCCATTGATAGCCAAAACCGGCATCAGGACGCACGAGAGCTCGCTTCTCGAAGGCTGCGCCAACAGGCGCCGGACGCGCCTCACCGGGAGCAATCTTCTCAATCTTGAGTAAGTGGCCGTCGGCAGCGTCGTAGATACCTAGCTCCACAGGTATCTCGGTAGCGTTTTCGACGAGGAAAGGTGACCTCAGTGTCACATATTTGACATTGTCTGAGCCCAAGCTGACCTCCACGCATACCCTGTGCAAAATTTCGTCGGTCTTGGGACGCAGTGCATACAGGAACTCGCCTTCGCGGTTAAGGCGTACATTCTTCACAGGGTCAAAACCACTGCCATCAAGCGTGATTGTGACATCGTTCTGGTTCGACTCGGTGAGAAGGTTTTCACGCATCTTCTCCCAGTGCTCAAAGCTCCACGGTGCTTCGCTACCGTCTTCCAGCCTGACTGAAATCGGCTCGTCACTTGTCGGGCTCTTAGAATTTATGGACACGTCGAAGCCAGTGTAATTGCGGATTTTGTAGGGAGCCTCGTGCCCTCGAGGCTTGTCCAAAACATCCTGTTCAGTAGTCAAGAAGTCAAAAGACTTTGAGGCCAATGCAATGGAAGCCGTGGTAATAGTTACGTCGAACGTCTTCTTGGAGACCAGGTCAACTGAAAAAAGGCCGGAGACGGGGTCCTTCGCAACGCCCAGACCCACTTGCCATGGTTCAAGCAGTGGCTCCCAGCTTGACTTGGAGAAATTGTAGACGTTGGAATACAAGTCAATTGCCACGTCGGCCTTGAGATTCGACGACCAATTGACTGCAGATGCAGTGAAATCTTTCACGCCAATGTCAAGTATAGGGAGCTCATGCAGGTCGCCAATGAGGACCACCCGAACGCCCTCTATTGTTGCCGACAGCTCTTCGTGTCGTCGAGGTGCTGTTGCTGCTGGCTTCTGCGGCGATTTGCCATCGTGTTGCCTCACAGATTTGGATCCCTTGGTCTTTGCAATAGTCGACTGCCCGCGACCACTGCCTGACTTTTGCTTCAACCCGGCGTTTCTCAGTTCCCGCGCTTTTTGCTCGGCAGATGTTTCTTTCGGTTGCTTGGAAGGCTCGTTGCCTGAAAGCTCACCAGCCTTGCTGAAAATCTGCACGGCAAGGAGAATGTCCCGCAAAGACAGCCGTAGAATGAGAGGTTCGACTTCAACATGGATACTTGTTGTGAGTGCTTGTGAGCTATCCATGCTCATCTGAACTGAGAAGTCATCGATGATGCGCAGTCTAGAAGTTTCGAACTTGTCCATGCGGCACAGGAACATGCCGATCTGGGATACCTGGAAGGTCAGAGCGTGTTGCTGCGACAAAAGCATCTGCCGAATACTGAGGACAATGGCTTCAGAGCTGGATGATAGAGGGTTGGCAATAAGAATGACTTGTGCATCCACCAGATTGACCCGAAACGCGACGCTCATCTTGGGCAGCTCTTCTTCTGGTTGGCCCTGTGAGCGATGACTGACAGTACTGTGCTGCCGTGACAGCTGTGACTCCTCTCTTTCTGATCTTGCCTGGCTCGTAGCCAAAGAGTCCGTGTCCGATTCCTCGGCCATCTCCGCCAGGCTCTCATCGTCAACTGGCAAAGGCTCGTCCTCCGCCAAGCCTTCCGCAGCGAATTTCTGAATAGCAAACAGATAGTCAAGCGCAAAAATTACGCGAGGACTGTCGATGGTGCACATGGCAATCAGACTGCGCTCCTTACCCCCGGACATGGTTACTGATGCCATCAGCTGCTGGACATCCTTGTTCGCAGACGTCATGATCCGGCGGAACCGATTGGACTCCCCTTGACGGCTGTCATGGATAGTGAAGGAGTGGATGAGTAGTTCTGCCTCAAGCGAGCCGTCCGATAACATTCTTGTCTTAACCTTGGTGTCGTCCAGCGAGAAACGAGACAGGCTACACGAAGCAGCGTCGCCGCAGGGCTCTTCTGGCTTTGCCATAATCAGCTCCAGCCCAATCGTGTTGACTTTGAAGACCAGGTCCAGCTTCGTCCATGCTTTGTCAATGGAGCTCAGTTCGGGGCCCAGATCCACCAATGGCTGGTCATTATTCTGTGTGTCGAGAGTTCGAGCACGCTTCAGAGTCTCTTGGTCAACGGCTCTCGCTGCCTCCTCATCACCATCTGTTCCTTCGCCGGCAAATGCCGCAGGTACTGACTTCGAGATTGTTAAGAGAGACTTGAGCTGATACTGCGTCAGCTTCAAGTTGAAATCCGACATCGAGCCTTCGATTTCGGTGTCTGGACGTTTAGCACCTGGCTTGTGCTCGGCATGCGTGATGTTGAAACCCAAGTCAACAGAATCAATCATCTCCAGTTCCTCCGAGCGGTCGTCAGAATAGTGGAAATCCGAGGTCAGTCGAGTGTTGCGGATGCCGGCCGAGATCTTCATGGCGATATCCGAGTCCTCGCTATCGTCAATTGGAGAGAATTTGTTCTGCGCGTATATTTCACCCAAGTATGCCGTGACCAAGTCTCTTTTCGGCTGCCCGGGCACAACTAAACGTGGGAAAACTAAAATCGGAGTCTTCACGACGACGTCGAATTTAATGCGGCTGGGGCTTTGTTGAATCTGATTTGCCTGGTTTGCAGCGGCTTGCCGAGCTGCGTTGTACAGCGCTTGCATCTTTCCAAACTTGACCAAGAACTCAATAATTTTGCGGAAGGGTTCCTCCACGAAATTGATCTTGACAGAACCGGCTCTGAGGTAAATAGAGCTGTCGTAGCCTGGATACCCGTTAAGGTTGTCGGAGTCGAAGGTCTCGTAGCGGAAGTCAGCCAGTTCATCTCCTTGGATAGTCACCAGTTTGCGAAGGTTCGAGTCTGCAGAGACACCTTGATTCACATCGTCAACCAATGAAAGGTCTCCGAGCTTGGAAGAGATCCTCATGGTTTTACCACGGATGAAGATACCAGTGTCGGCCTGGTTCAGCGAGAGTGTGGCCAGTCGTATCCCATCATTGTTGAGAATCATCCGGATACTCTTCAGATCTACCTTGACACGGATCGAACCTGCGTTGTTATTTTTCGATGCCTCAGCCTCGAGTATAGTCTCGTCGCTTTTGGCATCATCGTCCTTGTCCCTAGAAGTAGCTATAGCCTTTGTTTCATTTGACTGGGCGTTATTCCCGCCGGTGAAGGTGACGAGAATAAAGTCCAGGAGAGTCAACAATGTCTTCCGGGTGACAATAAGATTGATAGTGGACACCGCAGCCGTGATGTTAGTTTCCACTCCTTCATACACGGGCATGAACTCAGGAGACTGTGGGTTGACCTTGACAAATTTGACATGCACAAGGCTTCTTCCCGCCTTCTGGTCCTCGCTGTCGCCCGTGGACACGATTGACTTGAATTCAGCTGAGGGATTGTCCACGAAATCGTCCATAGTCACGGCGCCAAGTGAAACCTCGGCCACCATGTCATAAGGGCGGATGTAGAACTCCAGGTCGAAACGTTCCGCGATGAGCTCTAACAGTAGACTATCAGGCTTGCGACGCTCAGGATCGCTCTTATACAGTGACCCTTTTAGGGTGTCGACAGTAAACTTGAATTCGAAGTTTCGTTGCTGCACTTTGAGATGCTCTTTATCGGCACCATCACTAGCATCTTCGAAGTCGTCGTTGTCATCATCATCATCATCATCCATGTCGTTCAGAATAACCGCAGTATGGGGCTGCAGGAATGGGAAAGCCTCCGACATAGCCCGCGGACGGCCAGACTTTCTTCGGGACCTGTTTGAAACACTTGTAGAAGAACGTGGTTTGGACAGTTGCTTGCGGTCATTTTGATCTTCGCCTTTGACGGGTTTCGACAGGTCATTACCAAACTTTGGCACGGCCACCTCAATGACCTTCATCAGGCTCTTGTACTTTGAGTCCGAGACCGCAACATGAAGAATTGGCAAGTGCCCATGCACCTTGAGCTTGGTGAGATTTGGCGCTTTGGGCAAGATGGAGGTCTCCACAACAAAGTCAACATTGATCTTGTCCACAACGTGTAGCGGCGAGCCCTCGTCCTTATCGACCAGCTGCGACTTGGTCTCCGCAATGGAAGGTCCGATAAGTACTTGTGTAGATGTGAGCTTCACTAAGAACCGGTCGTACATTGCTGATTCAAGCCTCTTGAAATCTTCATCGCTGTATGATTGCCGCTGCTTTGACTGGATCTCCCTCAGAGTGCTTTGGTCCACCAGTTCACTATTGATATGGATATGTCCGGCATCAACAATGAGACAAGTCGAGTCATGGGTGGTGATGCTAACCGGAACAATGATGAGCGGTGCCTGAAGATCGAGCTCGGCATTGATTGTCTTGTGCTCTTCAAGCGCAAACTCAAGGCCTGCCCGAGTTTGCTCGCGAAGGCCCTCGACAGTCGCGCCAGCACTTTCCATTAAGGCTGTGATTGATTCCATGTGCCTTTCTGGAGGTCTGAAGAAGTCTGCTACTCCAACCACGAAGTTGGGATTCCATACAATCTCCAAGGGCTTCAATTTGCCGACAACTGCTATGTCGCCCTCGCGCTCAATCGGGTTCTTTTCGAACTCAAACTGGAAGAAGGGATCCCCGTCGGGCTTGTCAAGCTCAACCAAGGACAAACGCTTGCTCCTGCGGGTATCCGGTGCGCCTTTGACGCGAACAATTTCGGGGTAAAGGGTATCGGGAGTGGTGCCATCGTTGACACGAAGCCCGCCAAGACTAACACTGGCCAGCAGAGAATCCTTGCGTTGTAGTGCTTTAGCTTTGAACACGTCGAAGTGAAGGCTGAGTAGATCTGCTGGATTGCTATGAGGGCTCTTTCGGAGGGTGAAGCTACCCGTGCTGAGAGAGGCCTCAAGGCAGAGTTTGACGGCTTCTCGAGGAGTGTCCACAGACTCAGCCAGGGCCGTCTTTTCGTCCCAGTCAATGGCTTCATACAGTTCTTTCCGCTGCTGCTCAGTCATTTGGGTGTTTTCCTCGTTCTCCTCGATCTTCTCTTGGGGCTTAGACCCCCACAGCCATGACACCCAGCCCTGCTGTTCCTGTTGTTGAGGCTGCTTCTTAAGTGCAGCTGCATTCTCCTTCTTTAGCTCATTGCGAGCCAGCGAACGCCAGAATCGGAGGTCTTCGTATTCAAGTTTCCACTCTAGTCGTGAAAGGTCGTCATTCTCTTCGGTGGTGAGCTGCTGTTGCTGCTTCTTTTTCTTGAACAGTTCCATGTAGCGTTTGCGATCGTCCCGACGCTCTTTGAAGTAGTCCCACGTCCAGCGTCGGTTACGCTCATGGATCTTCCCAAGGACTGCGTTGCCTGCGAACAATAACCATGCCCGTGGGTCTTCCTTTGGCGTGACACCCTTGGGTTGCAATTTCTTGTATTCCTGATGTCGGAGGAAGTAGTGGAAGAGGTCAACCATCATCAAGCCATCTCGATACTGATCATCGTCCAGCACGAGACCGATCTCCTCAAACAAGAGATTTGCCTTGAACTTGGGTACTTTGACGTTGCCTGTTTTGTCCAGTTCAATCTTCGCCTGGCCGCTCACGGGCCGTAGGATGAACTGATGTTTTGAATTGGTGTCCTCATGCTTGATCATGCGCTTGAACTTGGCAATCATTTCTTCGTAAGGCATTATTTCATCAGCGGAGGCCGTTTCTCTTCCCGTTCCCATTAGTTCACTGTCGGTATTCCAATATACGGCCAGCGCGCCCAAAGTTGCAAGCTTGTGCGTCGCATCGCCTGCATGCTGAATGAAGGTTGGCTTCCATTCACCATCCGTGCTAACAGCGCTGAACTCCTGCAGCGTTACGCCCAGTGCAAACGGGTGCCCAGGTGCGGAGATTGAGTCCTCGTACCGAATGTGAATGTTCTTTACGGAAACCTGGAGGTTATCGACGATTTTGGTAACCAAACTCTGAGTGAAGCTCTGATTTTTCTTCACTTCTTCCTGGCTCAAGCCCTCTTGGTTTCTCTCCTTCAAGAGCTCAGCACTGTCGAGCTTCTCCATCTTGAGTCGCTGCCTGCGTCGTTCCTCCTCATCTTCGTCGTATTCCGCCTCCTCTTTGGGGCTGGCAAGGAGGAAGACATCCTCAACAAAGATCTTGACCGGCGCTCCACCAAGGTTCGACCACGGAATGACGAGTGTCAATTCACCAACGTGGCCTTCGATGACATTGACCGGTAGCTTGAGTTGATCTAGAGCCTCACGGCGTAGCTTTAGATTGCGGAGCTTGACGTCTCCTGACCAGATGCCGACCTTGAGCTGTGTAGGGTCGAAATTTTTGACGTACATGCCCAGGAAGCGGTTAAGCAACCCGGCGACGAGACCTTCGAGCATTGTGAAATCGGTCGAGCCGTAACCCAGGCAAGGGGTATCTCACTGGGATGTTCGATTTTCAAAATGACGACATTGAGAGAGGTTCACGATCTCGACCTAGTGTGTAGTGAGAATTACACCACTCTTTCTTTCAAAGTTGCCGTCCGTTCGTGAACCGGAGTCGCTGTATGGTGGGGGATGGTCCGGATAGATAGGTGCTGAGTTTTGTTTCTGTTTCGCGGTGGCGACGCTTGGTCGAGGCTTGGCGATGAGAGTACTCAGTGTGGAATCGCCCGTGTCGCTGAAGCGTAAAGGAATCGACCGACAGGCAGCGCGAAGCGTGGTGCGCGTCGAGTCGACTGAGGATACTGGAGATGAATGGTAAGGTTGAGGAAGCACAACCTACCAGGTACGTGTTAGAGTTTGGTTCAGATCGGGATCATGATAGCTGTTGGCCAATCAGCGCCACAGCCTAGCTAGATGCCGAAATCCACCTCTAACCTGTTTACAGCTGATGACGCTTTTCTGGCAGGCGCTCCGAGTCGTTTTCAGAGTGGATCTCGCGAGGGCGGGGCCTCCTACTTGCAACCCAGGCCCTGTGGAGCTCACAACCACATCCAAACCCGATGTCTTTACCCCTCGAAAGCAACAGATACACGCAGCCCCTATGTATCAGATATTGGGAAAGGTCCAGCTCCATTCGGGGGAGTCCATTTTCAAACCCCGTTTTCGCAAGTGTCTAGCTTCCTCGTTCATGTCCCTTGCGTGCCTTAGCTCAAGCGGACAGAATGGTCCACGACATGACGTCATGTCCCAAGGTGAGTTTCAAATCGATCTGTGATGTAAGGTTGGTACCTCCAAGGCTCAAGTAAGGCACCAGGTGGGAATACATGTAGGACATCAGAGCGGCCAACCTGCCATGCAAGTTGGTAAGGTGTGCCAGTGGTCACCTCAGACAGGACCCAGCCAAGCCCCATCTCAACCCAGGAATCCCGGAGCGCAAGACCTGATGATGATGTATGCGTCGTGCCGAAGAGCCTGTTGTGCTCTTAAACATCCGACGCCGCTTGCAATTGACTTTGGTTGATTCTGGCACTACTCCCTCGTGCACCAATCTTACCTGACCTTGAGCTCAACCGAGATTCCTTTGTCAATCTTGTCCAACTTTGCCCTTGCCCTTCCTTTTGCGATAAGTAGACCAGTCATGTTTCGATCCACGAGACCTCTGATCCGCCAACTCAGGCCGACACCTTTCGCGAGGCCTACGTCTGTGTCACCCTCGCTGGCGCTGGGTTGGGCTAACCAGAAGCCATTGGTTGCGCAGTCTACTAGACTCGCCAGTAACAATGGCAAACGCAATCAACAAGACCAGCCACCCCCAAAGCCAGAGATAGACTATGATGCTGAGCGCAAGGTTGCGCAACAGAAGCTAGAGCCTGACCCCGAATCCGTCTCGGTTGACAGCACTACGCGTGCAAAGTTCGATAACTTGCCTGAGGGAGGTGGCTCGGCTAACCCCAGTGTCAACGACGGGCTGAGGCATGATCTTGTAAGCTTCCTCACTTTGGCCCAAATTGGCTGTACTCACACCACTATGCAGGGAATAGTCAAAGACGCTTTCCGGTTGAGCAAGATCCCCAAAGAATCGCACATCCTAGGTCTTGCGGGCACTGTCCCTTACTTCGCAACGTCTCTCTCGACAATTTACCTGGGCTGGAACCTATCGCAAACCGTCCCCAGTGGCAGTTCATTCAAGGACTCCATCATGATAAACCCCGAAACAGCGCAATGGCTTCTGAACAACATTGAGCCAGTGCAGTTAGGATACGGCGCCGTCATAATATCATTTTTGGGCGCCATTCACTGGGTAAGTGCAAATCTACCACTCACGGACGAACAGCGCCCTGACGTAATGTTCTCAAGGGGCTCGAATACGCCGAAAAGGGACCATCGTATCCTCGAACCGGCTTCCGATACGCAATGGGTGTAATCGCGCCCGTCGTCGCGTGGCCCACACTCCTCATGCCCATCGAGTATGGTCTGACAGCCCAGTTTGGCGCATTTGTTGGACTCTACTTTGCCGATCTCCGAGCCTCGACCCGCGGCTGGGCGCCACGCTGGTATGGACAATATCGTTTCCTACTCACAGCCATGGTCGGACTGGCTATCTTTGTGTCCTTGGTCGGCCGGTCGCAGATTGAAAAGTACGGGCGTCTTGGGGGTGAACACTTGCGGGAGAGCATCACCCGCACAGGTATCGCCGACACAACGACCAACTGGGAGAAGGTAGAGCTTGAGGAGAAGAAGAAGATCAAGGCTGAGGAGGAGCGTAAGACGAAAGAGGAGGCGAAGAAGCAGAAGAACGCAGATGGAAACAGCGAGAAGGCGGATAAAGCGCAGGACAATGACGCCGCTGCGGAGAAGAACGACAACGAGAAGTCAGATGCGAACAAAGGGGAGGATAAGAGTTCAGAGGACAAGTAGGATGACAAGAAGGACAAGGACAGCGACTCCAAGTGAGCACCGTCCATCTCAGTATTATTCAGCTGGCGTTCTGGCGAAGCACACATGTAGTTGCAATCTATCGATGGTGTCAAGGGGTCCTCAAGTTGTAGATTCTTTGCCTTGCGCATCATTCTCTCGAGGATGTTGAGAATGCGAGTGTAAACACCATTGATCCAAGAATGTGGCTGTCGTTGACATGGCCGCACCTCGCCTTAGCACCACACTGAATGACCTGGTAGCGGCTGTATCTGCACCATCCTCCCCTGGGGAGGGCAATATTGAACGCTGAGAGGAAAGTAAGATGGGGTGTCCGCGATTGTGGTCACGAGGATACCACACGAAAAATATTAAGGATATTCCGGCGACGGATGGAATATGCAGATGGCGCTGCGATCACTGCCATGAGGCTGGTTCATAAGGCCAAGAGCCTACGTGTAGATACCACATAATCTAGCCGTGTTGAGTAGTGAAGCAGCAGCGCATGTGACAGGCAGCTTCTCAAATGAGATGTATTCTGCCTCGCAAGTGCCCACATGGTCGGGATTTCTAAACACAAATTCCTGCTCACGGAGGTGCTCGAGTTGCAGCTCGAATCAAAAAGTAACAGAACAGCACAAGGGGTATGCGTCCAACGCCCAGTAATGCACCCAGATACCAACCGAATCTGCCCATGCCCATTGAAATCCCTCTCTGTACATAGACCATGCCCCGTCGATGCGGTAACCACAGTCTCTTGCCTTAAGTGCCTGCTCTCTGCGTACTCCTATTCAAGGGCGTGAATAGCCCTGCTTCGCCTACAAATCGTGTCAGTACTGTAAGGGAGAGCACGGGCAATGAAATGACAACCTGCCTTCATCTGCTCAATTCGGGCCTTCAACTGACTGGTCACTTCAGCAGCGCGCTTCCAACTCTCCTGGCCATTTCCGGAGGGCTGCGGTAAAGATGAAACGGGCCTCTCTCGGGACATTGCTGAGCCAGATTCGCTGTGGTCGTCGAGGTTCGACTGAGCGCTCCTGAACCCCCTAGCAGGAGAACCTCGGCCGGACGACGCTCCACTGCCTGCATATCTCAGCTCAGGGCTAAGGGCCTTGGTCCTAGCATGTAATAGCTCGCCGTTCTCCTTTTCCTCAGACTGCGTGCTGGTGAAGCTCATCCGATGCCTGTTCGAGGACGCTGCGCCAGAGTCACGATAGATCCCAGCCTCGTCCAGGGTTGGTGATGTGAGCCTGGGGCTTCCTGAGCCACCTGACGGCACACCGAGGCCTTCGGCACGACTCAAGGCTCTCTTTAAGCGTTCGAGCTCCCGTCGAAGGCGTTCGTTCACCTGCTCAGTGGCTTCAGCATCGCTGCGTGCCCTCACAAGCTGTGTTTCCTTCGCCTTGATACTCAGGACGTCGCGAGTGTGGTCCTCAATGAGACCTGCGTTCTGATTTTTGAGCTCCTGGATCTCCGTCATGAACTTGCTTCTCTCTTGTCTCATGTCATCCACCTGTCGAGTGAGCCGCTCATTTGCGGCACGCAATTCGTCCAGCTCTGCTCGCTCCACAGCTGTCAACCCACTTTGTGGTGGAGGTGAGTCTGGGGGCATTTGAGGAGCAGCCGACGCAGGTTTGGCAAGGGACCGACCTGCCAGGCCACGAGTGAGGCCAGCTTTCGGCTGTGGGGGAGGGGCATCGTCTTCGCCAGGCATGACAGGCGGTCCGCCTGGTGCACGCCTTGGTGACGCAGGTGCGCCCAATGCACGCTTCTGAGGAGCTTTAAGACCACCAAGACCCGAGGGCTTGGGCATGCCTACCTTGCCAGCGGCTGCTTTCGGCGCAGCTGGCGCAGGCTCAGCTGACGAAGCCGTGGCTGGTGCCGGTGCCGCAGGCTTTCTAGCGACGGGTTTCTTTCCGCCCAGCACTTTCTTAGCCACTGGAGCAGCTGCCTTGGGAGCAGGTGGTTTGGGCTTAGGTTTGTCCTTTGCTTTCACCTCGGCTGCTTCGAAGAATTCCTTCACTTTGGTCTTGCGGATGTCGTCAAGACCGTCGAGGTACGGCGTCATGGCTCGCTCACCGATTATCTTCATCACGGTGCCCAGGATCTCAGCACCACCATCACGTAGTGCCGGGCTGGATTCTGCCAGCAGTTTCTTGCCAGATTCGCAGATAGTCGTGATTTCTTGCTTCCCGGGAACGTCCCTAGTAGTTCGGAGACAGCGGATGAGAAACTTCATGGTACCCTCCTTGACCTGAGGGTTCTTGTTTCCCAGGTAAGCGACAACATCCTCAAGACAGTCTGACAAACTTGTCGCCATAAATACAGCATCCAAAGCTCCTCCGAGTGCGTCAGCGACTGTAGCCTTTTTCTCCTTCAGACGGTCCATGATGGGCTGCATGACAGTTGCTCTGTATTTGGCGTAATTGGTGCGTAACCCCTTGGCCAGCAATTCAATGCATTGGGCAGCTTGCGTGACAACGGCAACGTTTGCGTCTTTCATGCACTTGGCGAGCCCACGATTGATCTCTCCGAAATCACCGTCCTTGATCCTAGGTACGTCCAAGACTTTGTACAGTCCTTCGACGGCCTCTTTGCGGTCCTTCCATTTCGACGAGGCAAGCTGCTCGCTGAAATTGGAGGGCACCTTTGATAGCACATCTTGCGGTTCCGCCAGATCGAATGCGTCCATCGCGCCGGCTTCTTCAGGTTCATCGTCGACTTCTTCTTCTTCATCACCGCCAGCTGGAGCAGCCTCTCGGGCTGCTTGCTGGGAACGCAGGAGCCTTTCCTGCTTTGGCGGGGGCTCGGCTTTAATTTTCTCGAATTGCGCTTCCAAGTCGGTTTGCTGGGTACTCTTGAGTTCGCCCCAAAACATGGGTTTCATGGCCTCGCGAAGCCATCGGTAAAGCTCCACGGTAAGATTCGTCGCCTCGGCACGAATATTCTTGTCAGCGGCACCGAATACCTTAGGCAGGCACTTTAATACTGGCTTCGGGTCCACGATCTTGCAGCCGAAGTTGTGAAAGACCTGGGTGAGGGCGTTGAGTGTAGCAGCCACGTTCTTGGGGACTTTGTTCGACAAGCCGGGCAGCATCTCTTCAATAACTGGTCCCGCGGTATCCATTTCTATGTATAAAAGCAGGGCCTCGATGGCATTCTGTTTTGTCGCAGCTCTGGTGGACGACAAGCACTTCTCAACGATAGGTGTAATCGCGTGACCGCGTGTTCGGGTGCAACAGTCCCTTCCGCCATATTTGAGGAATGCGCTGAGCGCCGTGACACCTTCTTGTTGAGCCGCGACATTGGAGTCTAATACGGCCCCTTTCCACAAGCTCGGGTCGTTTATGAACGGTCGAAAGCAGGGGTCGTCTTCACTGGGGGAAGCAGAGAACTGTTTGGCAGCGTCCTCGTAGGCAGCTTTGCGGACTTTCCAGACTTTGTGAGTAAACCGATCAGGGAGCGGCAGGGAACTGAAGTCCTCCTCTGCGTCGGCCATCCTGTATAGATGTCGAAGAATCTGTTCGCGCCGAGAAGTATCGAGGTGGGATTCGGTCGAGGAAGGAAATAGGTATCTACGATTTCGCTTCTGCGGACTTGTCAGTCGATGCGCAACTTTTTTCAGTGACATCTAGAAGAGGTTGCGATCTCCCCGTGTGCCATCTATCCGTCATATTCAGCTCCTGCGGGAGCAGACACCTATAGCCTGGCAGGCAAAAGACAAGTCGGGTGAAGAAGGCACCGCGGTTCTGCAGGCAGTTGCACACTCCATGTCATTCGTGCTGACAAGGAAAGGCATCGTTTAGTTCGTCCTTTCCTTGTCGCAACGATGGGGCGTTGCGCCCAAGGAAACTGACAGCCTGAATGGCGCCCAGCGGAGGAGCACAATAAGCAAAGACAGCCGCAGCAGGTACTCACATGTTTGTGTTTCTCTAAAACGCACGCGGCTATACAGGCTCGACAAAGATGGCAAGGAGACAAGTGTTGCAAAGGGACGCGCTTCCATATAGTAGTTGTCGTAGTCGTAGGTGAACGCATGGGAGGAGAGTTGTCGAAATGTCAACAAACCCCATCGTCCGCCAGTGGTGCCTCCATCTGATTCGTGGAGGCGTTAGGTTAGGTAAGGTACCAATCACCCAACTAAACTGAACCATCCCTGTGTTGTGTGACCCATCAGCCGCGACGCGGGGCATGGGAAAAGACAGCTTGCCTGCTAGGTAGGAAATTACACAATTATTATTGTAGTGCAAGCGATGTTTTCAGCGCCTCGATGCCCCGTGCTTTGTTTTCGCTGACTACGTCCGCCCTGTTAGTGTTTCTGACACGCCCCAAGTCAGGTGTTTACCTGTTAAGGTAGCAAGAAACAGGACCCTGAAGATGAACGCTAGTCGCCCTCATCGCCCCAGTAACGTCAATGCCTGTGGACAGTGAAATCCATGTAAGGCTGTGCTCTCCCGGGGTCGGTAAATTGTGATCAATGTCAATGAAAGCCGCCCCCGGTCTCATTGTCATCAGTCTTAAGGTACCCTTACTTCATCGACGGGGAAGGGGTATCAAAACAAGATGTAAAACAGCAGGACCAGATCACGTATATTATCAAAGTTTCGATCCTGATCCAAACTCTCCCACAAGACCCTGATTATTACATAGCCAAATATTCCGTTATGGTTTGAAATACTAACCATGTCCTCGTTCACTGTTGCCAGCTGACTATTGCCGTCTTCGTGCAAGATCCATCGTGAAGTTTGCCCAAGCACCGGGTAGGTAGATTACCTCCGACATCACGTGCGATAAAGAAACCTCATCAAAGCTGCATCATCTTAGCTCCGGCCCTGCGTGAAGCTGACCTTGATTTTGGGCATCAATCGTTTGGATAGTCGCTTGCCACCAGATGTGCCGAATATACTGGCGCCGACCTAGGAGAAGAAAATGAAGCCACGTCAGTCATTTCACAACATTCAATAACAATTGCCGTCACAACACCACCATAATGGAAAGCTCCTCGCGAAAGGCTTTCGCGCCTCCCCAGCTCAACAAGAACACCGCCGCCGACTTCTCTTCGTCTGCGTCCGAGTCCGAAGACGACTACCTAGCCCCCAACGCGAATGTGGACGATGGCGATTTTGGCGACTTCAACCCGCGCAAACGACGGAAGTTGCAGGGAAACAACAAGGAGCGAGCTGCGCTTGGCGTTTTTGGCTCCGATAGCGAAGGCGATGGCCCAGGAAGGAAGTGGAAGAGCAGGAGTCTTCGGGGAAAGGGGGTAAGCTTTGTGTCGACAGCAAAGGACCCCGAGATCGGAGAAGACGACGATACACCCATGTTGGGACTCGGCAGGGAGATCGACGACGAGGACGACCGTGAAGACGAAGAGTCCGGCGCAGGGCTGGGAATGCGTTTCCGCGGTGGTCTGAATGGGTTCAAAAAAGGGGAAAATGGCGAGTCCTCGAAGAACAATACCCCCGAAGCAGATGCGCCGCGACCGACATTCCAAGCCTTCGCTCCGTCGTCCGCGCGAGAACCAGTCCTTAAGCCTACCGCAGCGAGAAACGCATCCCCGCCCCGGAACAAAGCGCAGGTTAGCTCCTTTGGAGCGAAGGGGAAAAGTAAAGGATTGGGGTTTGGCGCAAAAATGCTAGCCAAGATGGGCTATGTCGAAGGCCAAGGTCTTGGAAAGGAAGGCGAAGGCCGTAATGTCATCATCGAGGCTAATCTCCGACCCCAAGGTGTCGGTCTGGGCGCTGTCAAAGAGAAGGGCGAGGCTGAGCGCCAGGAGGAAAAACGACAAGCTCGCCTGCGCGGAGAAGTCGTAGTTGACTCGGACGAGGAGGAAAAGAAGCGCAAGAGAAGGGCGAAGAGGACGAAATCGCTGGCAGGGGCCTTTGACAGTGCGACAAGCACGCCCAAGCGCCAAAAGCCCAAATACCTCACGGCTGAAGAGCTGAGGGCTTCAGCTCCCGGCCTCAACATCCCCGATGCATTCACCCCTATATTGGATATGACGGGGCCAGGAGGCAAGATGCTCACGTCTACCAGTGGTATCATGACACCGAGTTCTGGTATTCCCGAGTCCACTGAAATCATTGAAACCAGAAAGCTTGTCAAGCGCGCGCAGAATGACTTGGCCGCATTCTCCGAGGAATGGAGAAGCTTAGAGGAACGGAAAAAATGGGTAGCTCTTGAGCTGTCCGAGCGAGAAAGGGAAGTGGAGGATCTGCGTTCCGTTTTTGAAAGGTTGCAGGTCTTCTCCAACCTTGTTTCGCAAGAGGTGACCTCAGCCTCTGAATGGGAGCAAGTTGTCAGCTGCTTGCACAAGGCGGTCAATTTAGGGTCTGCAACACCGGAAATGGTTGATATTCTGGTTGCCGTGATCAATCCCTTTATCCGAGACTCAAATTGGGACCCGTTGGAAGAACCAGCCAGATTCGCGACCGACCTTGAGGGTCTCGGGCCTTTGCTATTGACGGCACCCAACGAGAGACGGTCGGTCAGCAAATGGGAGTCGTCGGTGGTTGATGCCGACGGTGTATACAGAACCCATCACAAAGCAACGACTGCATACGAAAGCATGATGTACAAGACTTGGCTACCCAAGGTCTTGACCGCAATCCGCAAATGGGATCCATTGGAACCGGCACCAATGCTAAACGTTGCAGAGCAATGGGACGCCTTCCTGCCCCCATTCGTGCGTGCTCAGCTGATAGACAATGTTGTGCGCCGGCTTGAGAGTACGCTTTCGAATTGGCATCCTAGGCAACAGCGTCAAGATCACCAGCTACCTCACACCTGGCTTTTCCCGTGGCTACAATATTTACCTCCTTATCATCTTGACCCCAAGGGCACAGGCCTGGTAGCTGAGGTCAGGCGCAAATTCCGTCAACTCATTGATGCATGGGAGTTCAAGAACGGCGTCGTTCCTGGTTTGATAAAGTGGGAGACAGTACTAGGCGAACAGTGGCGTTCACTAATCATGTCACACGTCCTGCCAGCCATGAGCAAATACCTGGGCCGCCATTTCCGCGTCGACCCGGCAGACCAAGAGCCGTATCTGAAGTACTTGACCGGTGTGTTCAAGTGGCAGAGCATCCTGGGCACTAAATTTGTCGCTGAAGTCTTGGTACAAAGCATCTTACCCATGTGGAACGCAAAGCTCGCAGAATGGGTTGCATTGGCCGAAGCAGATCTCACCGAGGTGGCAGAGTGGTATACCTGGTGGAGGGATGGACTGCTGAAAGATTATAGTGCAAGCGATGCTGTTTGTGAAGAGCTGGACAAGGGTTTGAGAACGATGAATGCCTTCTAGTTAGTCGTGCCTCAGACGACAGTGCGCGTTGCTGAATATAAAGAACCTACTTTTGGGCATATTGGTGTCACACTGCAGCTCCATACGGGCTAAGAACTCGATGACCAATCTGGCGAATTCTGCGAGCTACTTTCACCATCTACATCGTTGCTACATATGTCGGACTGATCTAGCAGGATATAATTTCATGAAGCGTGTGGGAATAATTAAGAGACATGATGAACCCACCTGGCGCACCGAGACATATTGTGCGCACTCCATCAACGTCCAGGATACGATGAGGCCACCATACGATGAAGTATTTACGATTACCTAATGGGGGTCCTGCATAGGAGCGCCTGCTCTGTATGTGACCATCTCACGAGGGCCGTTGTGGTTGCTGGCTGCATCTCAGCCGGATCCCGAGTACGAGGAGGAGAGAAAGGACGCTCATGCGTAATCTGAAAGTGTATAAAGCTAGGAAATCGAACTATGAGAGAAGTCTTTGGTCTAAGCACTCCAGCAAATATCTGACAATGGTATTCTTCAACAAGCTCTTCATCATCGTCGCGGCCGCTGCTGTCGCCGCAATGCCACCACGTCGGGCTGCCGACCATGCTGATGTTTTGCCAGGAAATTACATTGTTATTCTAAAGAACGATGCCGACGTTGAGTTCTACATCGCCTGGTCTAAGCTCTGCATCCGTGTAACTCGTGCAGTCCTGACAAGAAGGCTGTGGAGAAGGTAAGGACTGAACTGAAAACTTCAAGGGTTACTCGGGCAAGTTTGGTGAAGCCACGCTGAAGCAAATCACCAGCAAGGGAGATGAATGTTCATTTATTTCTTGGTATGATCAGATTGGCTGATCTTACGTTATTAAGGTCGACGGCGTTGAGCCAGTACAGATCTCCCGGCCTACTGTCACACTTGACGATTCCATGCTCGAGGATGATGCCACTGAATATCCAGATGCAGACGATGATTACACAGAAATACAGTCTGTCAATCCAAACAGGAAACAGCCTCTACGTACGTCAACTAGTCAGCACAATTGCCCTTGGGGGCTCATATCCCTTTCCCACCGTGAACCCGACGGGAGACGATATGCCTACTAGTGCTCAGGTGGAGAGGGCGGCTGATTCTATGTCCTTGACACAGGCATATATACAGAGAAAATCGATTTCGAGGGTCGCGCTCACTTGGGTTACAATGCCATCCCAAGCATCCCTTTCGAAGATACCAATGGCCACAGAACCCTTTGTGCGGGTACGATCATCGGCAAGCACTTTGGCATCGCAAAAAATGCCCAGCGAATCGCCGTGAAAGTCCTCGATTGAGACTCGGTAAGTATCCCGTGCTTTCCCTTTGACATGGAGCAGCCCAGACTAATCAGCGCAGGGCGACACTGCCGCTGTGGTCGACGGTCTCGAATGGGCTGTGAGCAACATTACGAACACTCCTGGGCGAGCTGCCAATGCGGTTGTTTCGATGTCCCTGGGCGGTTCTTACCCCCTTGAGCTCAACACGGCTGTGAAGAATGCCTACAAGGCGGGAGTTCCCTCCGTCGTGGCGGCTGGAAACGGTGGTCTACCGGCCAAACTCTTCTCGCCAGCGTCCGAATCAACGGCCATTACCGTAGCCGCCATCGACATCAGTCTGCGAAAGCCAGGGTTTTCCAATTTTGGAGCGTCGGTGGACATCTTCGCCGCCGGAGTCAACGTCGAGAGCGCGTACATTGGCGCCCCAGACGCATCTGCCACTCTGAACGGCACAAGTATGGCCGCATCTTACATTGCTGGTCTCATTTTCTACCTCAAGCGGCTAGAGTATGGAACGGAGAGTACGGCCGAAGTAACAGCAAGGATCCAAGAACCGGCAACAAGAGACGTCGTACAGGAGCCTGGGCCCTTGACACCCAATCTGCTGGCATACAATGACTTCCCTCCCCTGCCGCAATGTCCGGCCTGTGGCTGAGCCATGTCGACCGAGGGCTCAGACTGGAGCACGAGCTAAGGGGCGATAGTGTAGGCATTTGATCTGGGCAGCAATGCGCGTGATGATGGTCTTGTGTAAGAAGGCGTCGTGGGTGCTCTGTTCGCAGTATCTAGCAGAACCATCAGTTCCCATCAGGTACCAGTACCAGCACACTTCGAGCAATGATCTCCAAAGAGCGAAATCTCCGTTCGGGTGCTGTTGGAGGATAACAGTTGAGCCTATCACGACTCAACGTGTCAATTTTCTCGGGCACAGGCACCAGCGTTCATCAAGAAGCACACGCATTCCGAGTCGAGAAGAAGGTGTACGTGATGGAAAGGACGCCAGTGCAATTTTGGTAAGCCAATTTGACCGTGAGCAGTCTCGAACATCAAAGCTTTCGATCACTTAACCGTCGGACACCGTGGACGACCATCAGATTCCTGTGTCACGTCATGGACCCACCTGACCTCACTAGCAAGTACGTACCTTACCACGTAGTTAGCCTCATTGCTCGGTTTACCCTAGAGCACCAGCGAGACCCACTGATGCCCACCAATGCGGGCAGCACGGCACCACCGCCTGCCACTGCCCACCACCATCGCCCACCTACCCAAACAAGCACTTCGACGTCCTCGTGCCATCAAATTAACGTTAAACACCCGGCGCGCTTCTCGAGGACAACGATACTGTCCAAGTACCTCGGCTAGGCATTCGACACTGGAGGCAGACCTTCGCAGAAACTGCCAACAGCCCTTGGCGCTGACCAGCGACGCCCCTATCGAATTCTCTTGCCTCATCTCCAATCGACCACCCGCCCTCGACATTGCAACAAAATCGCGTCTCCCTCGACTCCAACCATCTTCTGCGTCGGTGCCGGACACTTCCAATTCTTGCTCCGTTCAAATACTCGAGTTGCGCGGCCGGCCGATCTGATACCCGGCGGCACATGGTCTGCATTGCTAAGCCCAACGTCCAAGACCCCCACACCGGTGCTGGTGCGCATCCTGCCCAGCGCCGTCACACAGGGCTAACACCATGTTTTGGAGGTTTGGCGGTTACGCCAACGTCTCGACCATCGATACCATACTTGACAAAGAAAACTTTACCCTCGAGGAGTTGCTTGACGAAAGCGATCTGATTCAGGAGCTCAAGCAGCCCAACTCAAAGCTCATCGAGTACCTGCGTGAGGAGAAGGTCCTCGAGAAACTGCTCGACTATGCTGTAGCCCCTCGACTCGAAGTCTTCGAGACTACAGATGATCAGGATGACGAATCCGGCAAAGGCAAGAACCGCCTCCTGTCCTTCTCGCGGCCCCGCGCATCGTCGCGCACGACTGACGCAACCGAGAACGAGGACGACGAGGCGGACAAGAAGCGTAATCGCTATGCTTTCGTCTCGTGTGAAATTCTGTCCTCGGATACCTGGTCCATCTATGAAGCTTTGACGGAAAACCGCGAACTCATCCGCAATTTTTGGAACTTCCTTCAGCGGGAATCGCCTCTCGATCCCTTGCAAGCGAGTTACTTCACCAAGATTAACGAATCGCTTTTCGAGAAAAAGACAGACGAGATGATGGACCTGCTTCGCAGCCTGCCTGATCCCGTCGGTGACTTGCTGAAACACGTCGAATGTCCCATGGTTATGGACCTTCTGCTCAAGATCATCGCCTTGGACCGTAACGAAGGCGGGCAAGGCGTTGTTGAGGTATTATCAGTCGTCAGCGGATCAGCACCCTAAGCTAATCATCGTACAGTGGCTTTACTCGAAGAACATCATTCCGACTTTACTGTCTTTCCTTAGCCCAGAGCACAGCTGGGTCGTCCAGACGGCTGCTGGAGACTTCATCAAGGCAATTATCACCATCTCGGCCAACGCTTCCCAAAACGAACAGCAGTGTATTGGTCCTAACGAGCTTACTCGCCAATTGGTCTCCCGAGAATGTGTAGAACGATTGGTTGGCTACATGCTTGGTGGGGGCAATGCCCTTACCGTCGGCGTAGGCATCATTATCGAAGTCATCCGCAAGAACAACTCCGACTACGATCCTGACGTTGGCGCTGGCAACAGCGCGACGCCCTCGGCGCACGATCCAATCTATTTGGGCACTTTGCTCCGCATGTTCGCCGAAAATGTTCCCAGCTTCATGGATCTCGTGTTGGGCAGTTCGGCTGAGAAAGAGCGGGCTGACTCGACCTTTGGCCAGAGACTAGAGCCCCTGGGCTTTGACCGCTTCAAAACCTGCGAACTCATGGCGGAGCTTCTGCACTGCAGCAACATGGGACTGCTCAACGAAGTTGGCTCGGAGCAGCTCATTGCGGCACGCGATGCCGAACGACAGCGCATGCGTGACGACGGAAAGCTTAACCCGACCAAAGACGAAGACGTTTCTACGGACGACCTCACAATGCGCTCAACGCAGACTGGTCAAGAGGAGATCCGCCGTCTAGAGGTGACCAATGCAGACGATGATGGTTTCGAGGAGGTGGAGCCCAGCAAGGAAATGAGCGAAGATACGTCGCACGAGTTCGTCAAAGCCGAGGCCGAGACCTCTCCTAGCCAGCAGACATCTCTGCTTGGCAAGGATGAAGACGACTTCGTGGACGAGCCGTTAAGCCCCTCAGCGCCGCCTTCGGGTGCCAACAAGCCTCAACTCGAAGACCCTGAGCTAGTCGTTGCTCCCCTTTCCCCTACAAAGGGGCCAGCTGCACAGCCCGACTTGACAGATGGCGCATCGGACTCAACCCCGCTTTCGGCAAATGAAGCTAGTGAAACCAGTGAAAAGGATGCCGCCAACCCTGACGGAAAGAACCAAATCAGCCTTACTTCAGAAAGCCCACCGGACGAGGGCGGTTTGGCGCTGCCTGTAACTGGACCCGCTGGAGGCTCAAGCAAGGCACCGGCTCCGAGCGAGGGTCCGTTGTCGCCCCATCCGGAAGATACTCCAGCACCGCTATTCTCCGCGGCTTCGGCGCCTGGATCTGGTGCCGTGAAGCCACCACAGACTACTGGCAAGACTACTGAAGATACGCAGAATGATCAGTCGGCTACGCTACCAGTCGACGAACAGGACGAAAAAACGGCCCCGGCATCCACTGAGCCCGTGGTGGGAGACTTCCTGAAAATGCAATTTGTGGACCACAACGTGGTTCCCACGATCTTGGTAAGAACTCAGTTCTGCTGCTCTTGTTGCACATGCTAATTTGGCCTAGTCATTTTTCTTCTCGTATCCTTGGAACAATTTCCTACACAACGTAGTTTACGACATTGTGCAACAAGTTTTCAACGGACCCATGGACCGTGGTTGCAATCCCACGCTCGCCATATCACTGTTTGAGGCTGCTGACATTACAGCCGCCATTATCAAGGGCCAGCAGGCCAGTGACGAGTCCCACGCCAAGACGAAGACTCGCATGGGCTACATGGGTCATTTGACTCTGATCGCCGAGGAGGTTGTCAAGTTCACCGAGCGTCACCCACCTGAGCTGCTCTCGGAAACCGTCCTGAACAAGGTCATGAGCGAGGAGTGGATCAACTACGTTGAGGGTGCCCTCGCCGAAACGCGCGAGAGAGATAACGCTATACTTGGAGGTGTACGTCCTGAAGTTGCTCTGGGTCACCGAGGTAGTCTAAGCGGTGCTGGTGGTCTAGGTGGTATTGGCCTCTCGGGCCTAACCGGCAACACGTCTAGCGGCCAGTCCAATGCCTTGTCTGATGCAGGACTGAACGGAGGCATCGAGCTCAACAGCGACGGCGGCGGCAACGGCATCGGCCCATTCGCCATAAGCGCCGGCACCTTGATGTCCGGCTTCGGCAGCAGCAGCGACGAGGATGACGAAGAAGGCGATGTTGACGAGGAGGATATCAATTCCGAGGTGAGTGGCATTTCGACGAAGGAGCAAGAGCGAGAAGAGCGAGAAGAGCGAGAAGAGCGAGAAGAGCGAGAAGAGCGAGAAGAGCGAGAAGAGCGAGAAGAGCGAGAAGAG